AAGACCTACATATTGTGACGAATATGACCATTTACTAGGCAACAGCTCGGTAAACACCGCCTAAGAGCCGGAATAGTGGAGCCAGACACGGAATTATCTCGTTGGTAGGCAACGGTTCATGCACGTTTCCGAGACAACGCTTCTGTAAACAATTCTCGAGGTAACGCAGTCAACAGTTGCTTAGTAGCAGGTTGCTACGTTTCGTAGCAACGGACAAAACAAACAATAACAATAGAAGCGAACCGTCCTATGTTAAATGGTTCCCTTGTCACCACGGCATGGCGCGTCCTCAGGTTGCGGGTGGAGGAGACGCCCTCCAGGTATGGAGGGAAGCTGCGAATATATTGAATAAGCAGTCGCATAGAGCCGACCAGGGGTGGTCCTCCAGGTTGGGGTTTGGGCGTGGGGCTAACAACTCACCATAAAAAACTCAGCTTCTTAAGAAAGATCAGAAGAGGCCTCGGACCTGGACGGATTCCTTGGGTAAAAGTTCTAAACGAAAGAAAATGGTTGTATGGATTGGATTGATCTGGCTCAGGATAGTGACTAATAGAGGTTTCTTGTGAACACGGTAATGAACCTTCGGATTCCATAAAATGTCTGGAAGTTTTTGAGTAGCTGCACAATTGGCAGCTTCTCAAGAAGAGTTCAGTTCTCTGAGTGAGTGATGAGCGAACCGTTGGAGATGTGATCTATATTCGGTCCGCATGGAAGCTAGTTCAGTCAGAGATTCTTCACAGAGACTTCGTCAGACAGGAGTCGTAATTCATTCAGCATGAGTTTAATGCATAAGATGTTATAATTAACTGTAATTGAAGTGCCAATAAACCCAGTCGTCAAATCCAGAACCCATTGTTATTCGTCACATTATGTGTTCATTTCGTTCATTTTTGTGAAAAAGCTGAAAAAATATGCGATGAATTTTCTTTGTCCCCGCTTGCCGCGAAAATCCGTAATTATTTCCAGTACATCAGCCGTACCACTGACTCTGCCGTGAGGAAGGTTGCACCCCAGCAAGTGCTTATTTCCGGAGCAACTTCAACACCAAGGGACTGGAACTAATTCTCTTTGGCTTGCCCAACCGGCGGCTACCTTGTGTTGCAAGGGAAGACATTCTATCTCCTCGTGTTTCTAGTTGCATGTCAGGTCTGCATCTATTGTTCTTTTCAAATTCCATCTCCTTTTTAGTGAATAAAGCGGCATAACCAACATGTTGACCGGACTATATTGTTACACCACCGGTGATTGAAAATTTTGGCATTAAAACTGTGGTACTGTGGTTTTTCCTTTAATGTGTGAGCTGCAGAGATGTCACATGATCTCAGCTTTGCTCGTACAGCTACAGTGCAAGTTTTTACGCATGAGTTGTACCACCTAGTTCGCACCCATCCAGCAGAGGCGCTCATACAAATCTGGTGAACCACAGAATGGTCATGAAGTTTTTAAAACCATGTAGACAAAACAAAAATGGACCGGTAACACACAGTTATTATATAGTTTAATTTTCAATTGCTATTTACGGCAAAATTAAGAGTTTTTTTTTTTTTGCTCTGACGGAGGTAGCATAATATTAGGCCACAAGACTGGAGGCCCAGCTGGGCACTTTTTTTTTTTAATTCACATAGTGGGGGGTCGAGTCCAGCTGGGTCCACTCGGCACGTCGGATACTGATTGGCTTATTGCACCCGCCCCGGGTGATTACGATGATGGAGCATTTGGTGGAATGAAGATTGGCAGGGGAAAACGAAATACTTGGAGAAAACCTTCCCCAGCGCCACTTTCTCCGCCACAAATCCCACTTGACCAGACCCGTGATCGAACCCGGGCCGCCACGGTGGAAAGCCAGCGACTAACCGCTTTAAGTATGGCGCTGCCTTCAGCTGGCACTTAGTTTCTGAGACTGCAAGCATTTTCTACGATCGACTCCCAGTTTTTGAAACACTTGCATGTACAATGTAGAAAAAGGTATTAGAATAATTATAAACGGTGAGTGGACGCATTAGGTGCTGACCTATACGCTCAATTAACAACTAAGCTCCGTGGGGCACAGTTCATTTCGAAAGTTGACAATTTTTCAGCTAATAAAAGTCACCAAGTTTATGGAAACCAAAGGTTTATTGTCACTTTCGCACTAGGTCGCTATTCAACCCTGTCCCTAGCCAGTTCATTTCAATATCCTAGTCATCCAGATTCTCTGAGATCTATTTTAATATTATTCTACCATCTATGCCCCTGTCTTCAAAATTACCTTAATATTTTCTGACCAAATCTTTCTATTCTGTTTTCATCTTCCTCATGCCTGATATATATCTGGCAATACATTTCCCGGATTGGTGTGAAAAAAGATATAAAAAACACGATGAAATAAAAAAATATTTCATTTGTACTCAAAGTAATCTCCACATATTTTAATACATTTGTTGAATCGTTTAAAATCTTTTTGAAAAAAAGTCAGAAAAGACCACCAAAGGAACAGCGTTCAGGTCGGCCGTTAATTTTTTTCTTAATGTTAAAATCCTGAAACTTTTTTTTTTTTGAGGAAAGTTTTAATCTCATGAAAGAGAAGAATGCAATGAAGAAAACTGGAGTTGGCTTGACAAGTCTGGTTGAGTCCTGGCATCATTTGTTCCTCCGTTTCCTCTGCTCGTCCGTGAGTCTGTGTGGGACAAACTTTGCGCAGATGTACCTCTTCCGGAAGTCTTCACGGAGAATCTGACGAATCGCCTCCTTACTGATGTATGTTTATTTCATCCGTCACCATTCTGAGATCCCATCAACAACCGCATATCACCACTTCAAGGACATTTATATTGTGTCTGCATTTCGAGAGGCTGAAGGACGCCCGCAACTTTGATCATTCTCAAGATCCACACCCTCGTCTTTAAGTTGTTGAAACCATTCAAATACACCGCTCCAACTTCAGACTTCATCACCATAGAGAGCCTGCTACATTTCATAATTTTCTGTTCATGTTTTACCCAGTTTAAAATAAGATTAGGTATTCTCTCATTGTTCCATGGCTGAAAAAGTGTCCGGACTTGCAAACACAACTACCTCACTCACCTTCTACTCGTGAACTCTCAGTGATTGGACTTACTGACCCCTACTAATTGTTAGTAAGATGTATAAAAGGTAAAGTTGTCCCCGTGCTTAACTAATTAAGCATTACGCCATGAAGACCTATGGGGGAGTGGATATATAGATCCTCATTTTCGTCACCTCGGCATTAGCTGTAGGTAAGTGGTGAGCTTCACGCCTCGGCCGCTTCACCCCCGGTACCCATTATATAGGAGGTTGGGTGGACCCAAGAGCCGGTCTGGACGATTGGAGAAGAGAAAATTCTTGATCCTATCGGGACTCAACTCCTACCCCTCGGTCGTCCAGCCCGTAGCCAGTCGCTATACCGACTACGCTATCCCGGCTCACGGTAACATACATAACGAAAGTTTATTCTCGGTAGTGTTCTCCGTACTCCTATTGTACTTCAATCTATATGTTCCATTGCCGGTCACGGTAGCTGAGCGGTTTAAGGCATGTACTGTCTTCGCTCGCTCGGAAGCCGGGATCGTGGGTTCGAATCCCACTCAGGGCATGGATGTTTGTGTGCGTTTTTTTGTGTTTGTCTACAGGTAGAGGCCTTGCGACGAGCTGATCACTCGCCCAAGGAGTCCTATCGTATGTGTAAGATCTAGAAAAACCGAAGTGAACGGAGTTCATGGAGGTAGGCCTAGGCCCACTGGGGCTGTAGTGCCAAGGAAAAAAATATGTTCCATTAGGGTGACAGGCCAGATTTCATGCCCTTATAAATCATTCACTGGCATTGTTGGGGGAGGAACTGATGTAAATCATGAAATATTTCAACCAAGAAAGACAATTTTTCTATCCAAATTGTTGTTGGATGCTTTCTGAATAGGAATAAGTAGTAATGCCTAATTTTCTGCTCCTTTTTTAAGCATTATCTCCTTCTGTACAAAATGTCACGTGACAGCCTTCCACTCCGACCAGACGGAAAGCGAAGCATAGGCTTCACTGGGCCGCCATGCCATTGCTCTACATTAATGGAAACAAGAAACGAGAAACCTGAAAACGTTCATATATTTTTAGAAGATGCATTACCGCTCAGTGTCAGTGTCCTACGATAGTACACTCAGTTCAAGAACTGAAGCTTCGTAAGCAAGCTATTGTGGTTCAGAACATCAAAATACGAGTACGAAGGCAGAATACAGAGGTTTAATTTCAGGCTTTGCTCCACAAATGCGCTACTAGACCTTTATTGCATATCTGGACCTCGCAAATATTTTAGAAACACCATCCTTCAGACACACATTCAACAGAGCTGTACATTCATACCGAAAGTAATTCTACTTCTGCAATTGATGTTTTAATGGCGGAAATTTCTTGTCTGGTTACTTTTAATGTGCTCTATCTGCGTGAAGAGCAGGGATATCGTAGTCGGTATAAAGACTAGCTACAGGCTGAACGACCAAGGGGTCGGAATTCTAGTCCCGGTAGGGTTAAGAATTTTCACTTCTCCACGTCTTCCAGACCGGCTCTGGGGTCCACCCAACAACCTATCCAAAGGGTACCGGGGGTACTTTCCCCGGGGGTAAAGCGGCTGGGGCATGAAGCTTACCAATCACCTCCAGCCGAGGTCAAGAAAATTGTATTCTATACACCCACTCCCTCATACGCCTTAATGACATGGTGCTTAATAAGTTAAGCACAGGGACAACTTATCGCGATAAGAGACTTTCTTGCGTAAGATGCAGTGTACAACCTGCTATCGATCCGTTCTGTTTCTTATCCGAAACAGAATTCAAGGTTATGTAGTTCTCAATAACTGCGAGGAGTTACCGGGGTAAAGGTATGACCGATTGTCGGTTGTCTCTTTCCTGCCTACTCGAATGAGAGGCGGAGATAGTCGAACACAGCCGAATTGTTCGTGTCGCCTTGTAATCCAGCGGGTGGCGGCCATGTTGTTTTGTCGTCGTAGCGCGGGCCATGGCCACTGCACTGGTATGGCCTCAAAGTCAGTCAGTTGTTGTCAGTGATACCGGTTGGAGTTCGGTTTAGGCGAAAAGGAAACGTTCGATGCAAAGGAAGGCACAAGCCGACAGAGAAAGCCTTGCGTGTAAATGGCGTTGAATGGGTGGGGACAGCGTTTTTATAGCAGTGTAGTGACAATGTATTTTCATTAATCCTTACGTGGATAGACGTGTTATATGTGAATTTTAAGTGCGTAGCGTGAACAGGGGGGAAATAAGCGATTTTTTGTTTTTATTTTCCTGGTTTTAAGACTGAAAATTGAATTTTAAAATTGAAAATTGAAATTTCTGCCCTGCTGGAATCTGAAGAGCAGAAAACCCCTTCCACCGTCACCGACTTATGGTGTAGTGGGGTAGAAGGAACCCCTGCAGTCGGTACGGTAACTGCAAGAACACCATCTTCATCTGCTTCTTTGACTTTTTCATCCTGTAACTGGTTGGAGGCTGTAGAGAGGTGCCTATTGGTCATCTACCTGTTGGCATATATGCTGGGAGTTCTGAAAAGACGGTGGAAGCCCAAGAGGTAAGATGTGACATCATGTAACAGTCGAAATTTGATTTTGGTTTATGGGAAGTAATAAGCAAAACGAAACTTATTATTAGACGTAGGTACCAGCAGTATGCACCAATCACATGTGGCAGGATTGTTAAAGAAAAATAAAGTTTTTATAGTACATTGTGATCTTCATTACTGAAATTCGGTCATATCGGCCCCGAAGATAAGCACCAGTAACTGAGGTTCAGTGTTAGTTTCATCCCTTCTACTAATGTTGTCACACATACTGACGTACATTAGTCACCGGGTAAACGTCTCACAGATTTTGTTGAAATTTGATAAGGGAGACTTCCACGAAGAGCTGTCGAGTGTCAGGCATATTGATCCGTAACAAAGTCTAGTTTGCATAAATCTATGAATGGAGTTTGCCATATACTACTCGACAGATTTCACTGAAATTTAGTATGGGCAAAGTCCACTATTTGCATTTAATTAATTTGTTTACTGCATTATGGAGTACACCCTTTCCAGTCAGTCTCTTGCATACTACTTACAAAACACAGAACGAATGAGTAGATATTTCTATATATGAACACTTTTAGGGAAATTAGAATGCGAATTATTACTTCGCTTTATTGTATCAGCAGCAGAGTGTGGGAAAGTCAGTAGTGCTTACCGCTGTATCAGCTGAATGCATCGTTCAGTCAACTTGTGAACATCATCATTTAGGATATTGTGTTCGAATAAATTATTAATAACATTTAAAATCTAAGCATCTGTGTTTCAAGTTTACTCATAACGAACAGTTAGTAACCATCTAACACGTATATATGTTTGTTCTTGCGAAATTCTCCATCTTGGATTTATTTCGATCCAGCCCCGTCGGGCCCCACACAGTTTGTCCCACTCCTGTTCTAGTTACAAAACAGTCACCTTTTTTTTTTTTTTTAAATTTGTGTATGATAACTAAATGAAAAAATTAACATTTCAAACCTACGCCGCGTTAAGAAGGTTTTTGTGTGCAAATTGTAGCGAAATACACATGGGAAAATAATGTGTAGTAGTAAGCGCTTCATAATTTGTACTCTTCTCCAAGTATATTTAGAATGATCAAGTCAAGGAAGATGAGGTGGGCAGGGCATGTAGCACGAAGGGGAGAGAAGAGGAATGCATTTAGGATATTGCTGGGATAGCCAGAAGGAAAGAGACCACTGGGAAGACATAGACGTAGGTGGACGGACAGTATTAAAATGGATCTTAGAGAGATAGGATGGGATGGTTATAGATTGGATAGATGTGGCTCAGGATAGGGACCAATGGAGGACTCTTGTGAACACGACAGTGAACCTTCGGGTTGCAGAAAATGCTGGTAAGTTCTTGAGTAGCTGCACAATTGGCGGCTTCTCAAGAAGGGCTAAACTCCATGATTGATTGATTGATTGAGTGAGTGAGTGAGTGAGTGAGTAATGTCATGCGCACAGATTTTTGGGCCAATTTGACCCACATGTAGACGTTTGAGACGAATGTGATCTCAAGAGACCTTGCACCTTGCTTTAGAATAAAAACAGACAGGATACACGTGTGACAGCCGATGTAACTATACCGTTAATGCCGCTGTTTGTCAGCTGCATGAGACCTGTTGTGTTCTTGTTATTGCACTGGGATTCCTGTAACTGCTTTGACCTTGAGTAGGCCTATATCGATGGTTACGTAGAGGGGAGACAAGAAGGCCGACTCTTGCATAATTTGTATGGAAATTTGGACTCGTTGTCAAGATCTTTAATAATGCTGGAACGTGACGATGCTGTAGGGTGCCAGAAATCCTCAACTGACAGACTGCACAGTACATATTGGCTGGATATACTCGTAAAGAAGACTGTGTTCTAATAAACTGCTTGCACAGAGTGAAGAAGTGTACACTCACTGTAGACGCTCTGTCCGTCTGTTCGCACAGTTTATCTGTCTGAAACTGTTGAAAGAACGTAAACTGAATTTCGCATTTACCGTTGCATTTTGGAGCCGGGATAGCGCAGTCAGTATAGAGAATTTTCACGGGCTCTGAATTCGAGTCCCGGTAGGGGCAAGATTTTTCTCCACTCCACGTCGCCCAGACCGTTTCCGGGTCCCACCTAGCCTCCTATCCAAATGGTACCGGGAGCGATTTCCGTTGGGTAAAGCGGCCGGGGCGTGAAGTTGACCACTCACCTCCAGCTAGTGCCGAGGTCAAGAAAATATGGATCTATATATCCACTCCCTTATACAACTTCATGGCCTAGTGCTTTATTAGTTAAGCACAGCGACAACTTTGCCTTTTCTTGTAACATTTCTACAATTACATTTTACCGTTACCTAATATCGGAGCCTTGTTATGGGCCGGACTGTATTTATGGTGATGTTGACTGGATCAAGGTGGCTTAGCTTGGAGTTGAGCGGGATCTTGGCCTAGCTGCAGGTGTTAAAGATACTCACTAAGCTGAACCTGAAGTGAGCACAAGTCGAATTTCTCATACCCAGTTCTAGGTATAGTTATGTAGCTCTAAGTAGCTACTCGTACTTGGAAGCACTGCAGTAGGTCAGAAGACTGGACTCTCAAGCTACCAACCTGATATGTTTCTTAATTTACTTGTTGTAGTCATTACTGGTAAATTCTGAAGCTCCTCATTATGAAATTTGCTCACGACTCCTCTTACTTTCTCCTTCTTGGGGGTAAACAGAGAGGAAGTAACAGCAGTTGGAGAGGAGCTGTAGAATGTGTACTCATCGCCAGATAGGCCTATTATTAGGGTGATCAAATGGAGAAGGATGTGATGGGTACAGTACATAGCGCTAATGAGAGAGATAATTCATGGAAAGTTTTAGTCGCATAGGCTGAAGGGAAGAGACAGGTGGGAAGATCTAGGAGTAGATGAGACGATGTTAACATGTATCTGAAAGAAGTAGGATGTGAGAGCAAGGCTGAGGGTAGGTACAAGTGACAGGGTCTGTCGTGAACACGGTAATGAATATTTACTTACTTACTTGGGGCCGCGCCATAGCTCAAGAGGTTAGTCGCTCGCTTCCCACCGCGACGGCCCGGGTTCGATCCCGGGGTCTGGTCAAGTGGGATTTGTGGTGGTTAAAGTGGCGCTGGGGCAAGTTTTCTCCGAGTACTTCGGTTTCCCCTGCCAATCTTCATTCCACCAATTGCTCCACAATCACCCTCACCTATCATCTGGGGCTGGTACAATAGGCCAGAAGTGGCCGCAGTACAAGGGACTTAGTCCCACCCCACTAGCAATAAAAAAATACGTACTTGCTCATGGAGCTGAGCCCTTCTTCAGGAGCCGCTAATTCTGCAGCTACTCAAGGATTTCCCAGCATTTTTATGGAACCCGAAGGTTCATTACCGTGTTCAGAAGAGCCCTCCACTGCCCCCTATCCTGAGTTAGATCGATCCAATCCATACCATCCCATCCTATCTCTCTAAGATCCGTTTTAATATTGTCCACCCACTTACGCCTTGGTCTTCCCAGTGGTCTCTTTCCTTCTGGCTTTCTCACCAATATCCTATATATATTCCTCTTCTTCCCCATTCGTGCTATATGCCCTGCCTACCTCATCCTCCTTGACTTGATCATTCTACGTGTAATTATACTTGGAGATGAGTACAAGCTATGAAGCTCCTCATTATGCAGTTTTCTCCAACCTCCTGTCAATTCATTTCTCTTCAATCCAAATATTCTCCAACACCCTCAGTCTATGTTCCTCCCGTAACGGTACTGAATCTTTGGGTTCCATAAATACTGGGAATGTATCGATCTTGGAAATAGGCTGTGCTGGTGTTGATTGATTCCAATTGGCTAAGGATAAATATCATAAGGCTCTTGTTGTAGCTGAGATAAACTTTCTGATGTGCGGAATAAACTTCTATCTTAATAGTGCTTAAATACAAAGACCATTAGGCCTATATCTGACTGCTACTGTGTCCGTAAGACCTGTATGTGACATACTTCGTTAAGAGCATTCCTTCTGTATAGGAAACCTGTCTAGACTTAAAATCACCCTTCTTCATGTCTTCAGTGGCGGGTATTTAGTACAATATTCAGCTGAAGTATGCTGCTTTTAGCTCGAGTTTAACACGTCACACTTTATATCCATTTGTAATTGGTCAAGTCACGTCAGCTTCAAGTTGCGAACTGGTTTTAGAAGATGGACGTGTTGTGGGATATTTAGACCTATCACATTTTAGAGCTGTCTCTATCTCTCTCTAACACATATACGTGTACGCGTGTGTATACGGGTGCTAATTGTGCCTGGTGCAAACAACATACGCCGTTCTAGCAGAACTTAAAAGTTATTAATTAAATATCAACGTATTTAATTTATTTATTCGTATATCTCATTTTATTTGATGCATTTGTTTATATGACTCAGCCAATTAGTTAATTCATCTTAGCATCTCGTCCAGTCGTTGCGTTACTTGGGCCATACACCCTTGATTTGACTGGTTTTAGAGCCGTTTTGTTGTTTCTTCCGCAAAACCAAAAATATAACGTTGTACGAGCCCTCGCTTATTTGCCTTGTTTGGATTTAGCGGTGAGATAAGATGTAAATCTGGCCGTGCATCCCAAAATAATATGGACCATTTCTAGGGGATTTTTAAACTTTATATATGTTACCATACTGTAGAAGTGAACAATCCGCTTATTATGAAACATAACCGGCGATTACGTATTATATATATAATTATATTATTTATAATTGCCCAGTTGATCTGAACTGCCATAACACATTCTGAAAGAGGGTATTCATCACTTTATGCAAGTTATAAACCAATGAGGTATAAATAAAGTCGTCTTCTGGGTTTAGGCGCCGTGTATTCTTCGTTTTGGCCGTAGCTGTAGTACAGCTACTGCTCTCTGCATTCCAAGCCACTCACCTGCTCTGAAGATGGAGGCGATACGTTCCTCCGAAACGTCGGCCAAAACGAAGAATACACGGCGCCTAAACCCAGAAGACGACTTTCTTCATAGTCATCGCCGTGAAAA